TACTGGAAGATGGTCACTGATGTCATTTATAAGAAGTCCACTTCTCAATTTACTTTCCATGTAATTAGTAAATATATTGTCAATCAGTGTTGAACTGTGTGTTGTTATTCTACTTGGTTTTGTAATTAGTGGATATAAACCTAAACTATGCATAGTATCGATAAAGTTAGATGTACTTTTAACCATATTTGGATTCAACATGTCAATATTAAAGTCTCCACAGATGAAAATGACCTTTTGATGCATCTTAGCAAACAATGTTTCCATGTAATTTGTAAAGACTTCAGTGTCAGATGCCGGTGCTCTGTACACACAGCTGACCATTATATTTTTCTGCTTTTCAAATTGGATTTCAATAGTAATGCATTCCATTACTTCATCAACTGACACTGACATTTTTTCTACCACCTTATATTTTAGATCATTATTAATGTACAAAGCTACACCTCCACCTTTTTTATTCTTTCTGTTTATGTAATTAAACTCATACCCCTCCAGTATGAAATCTACTCCCTTCTCGGAGGTGAGCCAGGTTTCTGTTATTGCTATGACGCTGAATGACTTTTTTAGTTGATATAAATATTCTTTGATTTTTTCATAATTAGCATAAAGGCTACGGCTATTGAAGTGAATAATTGACATTTCTTTATCCGATTTAACGCATTGACTATAGTTATCATCAGTGTAGTAATGACAGTTGTCATTCAAATAATCAAGGAAATTGTTGTCTGGGTCAATATCTGTGTCTATGTTCATGTGTATATTTTCATTTTATTACTGGATTTCAGAAMGTTGATCAGAAGTTGCCTGGTTGTCCTGTTTCACTGATATTTATCCAACTCTTCAATTTGTCTGATGATCAGTACCTTGGCTTCTTCCRGTGAACCGTTCAGTTTGATATAAACCTTGCAGTTTGAGGTCCACGTTGCCTGTATTTTCTTTTGTTTCCTGAGAAAACGTGCTTGTCTTGCTATATCTGCATTAATTTTGGTAAGATGCTCATTTATACTCTTGAGCAGTTGTGTTAACTCATGACGTTTCATGTTTAACTTCAACTAAACATGTTCCTCGTCTTACTGCTACAGCTGAGCACTGCTAACAAACAGTAACTGGGCTCCACCTGATATTTCCTGCATATAAACTGTGTTTTAACATGTCCTGATATGAGTACTGAAAAGTACCACATGTACAACTCACTAGTGAAATAAACAATACAGAAATAATATTAAAAGTAAAAATAAGAGTTTTACTCACTGTTGAGTTGTGGTGGATAGCAGGGCTATTATAGTTAACTAAAACTAACTAAATAACAAAAACTCAAATTGAAAAAATATTTTAGTTAAATAAAACAAATAAAAACTGTAATAAAATGAAATAACAATAACCAACTAAAAATGTATTCGTTTTTTAACAAAACTAACTTCAACTAACTAAAATTACAGATAAAATATTCTTAGTTTTAGTGATTGTCAATTTATTTTGAGCCATGTGGATCTTTTTTTTTTTTTCAAACTGAGTAGTTTCACATTAGCTGTGGGCCCTAACAACACTTGTTTACAGTCTGCTGCTGCTCAGAATCACCTGCCAAATGACAACAGCAAATGTTGGGAGAAGTGTCTTGTGGTGGAAACAGGTGATAAAATAGGTGAAAAACTTCTCAAAAGAAAAACTGCATGAATCGAGCTCACACAAGATGGCCAACTATGACTATCTTGACATGCTAGCTACTCTCAGTAGCTCCCATGAAAATCAAGCAACAGGTTGCACTGAGTTGGAGACAACTATTGTCATCATCCTAAAATAATCGCCCAAGTCCTTAGTTGACAAAACTGAGTTACGCAATTATTTCAGGAAGGTTAACTAGTGACCAAATAGCTGTTAGGAACATCACAAGCTTGACGATGCTTTGGCAAATAAAATATAAAAAAAAAATACTAGAGCTAATAAACTAAAACTAATCATTAAAAATGCAATAATAACTAATAAAACTAGCAAATCCACTGTAAAAACTAATTAAAACTAACTGAATTAAAAGAAAAAAAGTCACAACGAAATAAAACTAAACTATAATGAAAAATCCAAAACTATTATAACCTTGGTATCTGATGTCTTGTATTCTAGATGATTCCCACCAGAGGGGCGTTCCAGTTTAAATTTAGGACTTGTAAATTCCTACTTTTGCACAGCAAATTTCACCAACCCTGTGCACCTCCAGTGGTGGGATGCCGTGATTGTGAGAGTAAAATAATCGATTTGGCCCACGGGCCTTGAGTTTGACACATGAACCATGGAACTACCTCCACTGTGTTTCAGAGGTTAAAGTTCTTCTGTCACAATGTTTTAAAAAAACTTTTCCAAACATAGTCTCATTTAATACAAAATGTGTGTTTATTTATTTATTTATTTATCCATGAATGGTTTATATGATTTTTCCCTCCTTGGTTTAGCAATCTTCTTGTCAAGATTCATGTTTTGTTAGTTTTATTATTATTGTTCATTTTTTTAACTTTATATTTTATGTTTATTTGTCCCTCAGTATCAACTAAGTATCAAAACCCAATCCTCCTGTTCCTGAGTTTTCTGTTGTAATAATAATAATAATAATAATAATAATAATGCATTAGTCTTATATACGTAGCTCTTTTTGAGACCCTCAAAGATGCTTTACAATTTTCATACATCATTCATTCACACTCACATTCACACACTGATGACAGTAAGCTACTTTGTAGCCACAGCTGCCCTGGGGCAGGCTGACAGAGGAGGGGCTGCCATGCTGCGCTACCGGCCCCTCTGAACACCATCAGTAGGCAAAGTGGGTAAAGTGTCTTGCCCAAGGACACATCGACTGAAACAGCTGGACTGGGGATCAAACCGGCGACCTTCCGGTTCCGGGACGACTCCCCACTGTGACAGTTCTAGGATTCTGGGGTTCTTGTTGACGTTGTTCCATCATTTTCTGATGACACATAATGTAGAGAAGTTGATATATTAGAAATTAGCCTGAGGTCATTTGTAGCTTGAGGATTTTTATTTAGTCAAAGCTGATCAAACAATCTTTGGAGTGTCACAAAGATCTCAACTGTTTGAGTGTCTTTAACTTTAAACAAAATACTAATTTATCTCAGACTGTATTTATTAAATTAAACTGCTTTCCTTGACAATAAACAGATGTTTTTCTCTTTAGTTTATTGCATTTTTCTTCATGAGGGTTTGCATAAAATGTGACAAGGCTGGGTCTTTAAACCACCATTGAACAGAATGGAGAAAAATATGCAAAACTACACGAGTCTATCAGCGAAGTAAAAACTCAAGTTTCCTCTCTCCTGTAAGCTTTAAAACATGGTTTATTTATTATCACAGTATTTCATATTGGAAAAAAATTGTATAGTTCTTCTGGACGGGTTCTTCTTTAATGAAACGTTTCGTCTCTCCTCCAAGAGACTTCTTCAGTCTGAGAGTTTCAGGCAAAATTCAGGCTTTTAAGCACCACTCTCAGCAGCAGAACCACACTTTCCACAGAACAAGTGTGCCAACTCCTCAAACTGTGCCTGGAG